TGAAGTAGGAGATGCGGCATTGACAGAATGCCTGGCTATCTACGACACCTCCTACATATATATGTTGGCTTCACTTGAGTTCGACTTCTCCATTGCTTCTAGGTCGACTTAGCCTTTATTCCAAGTATATTCGTTATTTTCTGTCATATTGGAAGCCTACGTGGCAACATGCAAGCAATATAGTTGGGCTGGAGTAGACGAAGTGAGAATTCCAGAGCTTTTATGGATTTGACAGACATGACCGTCTTCGTAGAAACACTGGGCCCCATTTCCCAGGGCAGCCGTTGGACACATGGAACGGCTCGTGGTGTGGAGATGTCGCAGTTAAATGAGAGGAATAGGTATACATCATAGACCAAGTAGAGGATATAATGATGGTATAAAAGGGGAGAATCTTGTGAAATCGACAGTATATTAATCTGCACGTAATTCCACCAGCCACGTCATAATAAATCCTCCAGAAAAAAAAAAAGAAAAGTCGAATGAAAAGCATGTAGATATCTGAAATTGAAGCACTAGCGCCGCTGCAATGCAACAAATTGGGGGGGAAATAAAACCAAAAGGCAAGGTAAATAACAAGATCCATAAAAACACCAAGTATTACACCGCATTCGTCACATCATCTGATTTCTCTGCTTCATCTCTCTGACTTGCCTGAAGGATTCTGGGAAGAGAATGAACAGAACTTGTCCTTGATCGCGATAACCTCGTAAGTTCCCTCATCGGAGGTCTTGATGGTCTTGATGTTCTCGTAGGAGATGTCGTGCTTGATATCAAGGATCTCCGACTTCTTTCCCTTGCGGACATTGGAGCTCCGGATGTATCTGGGGAGGGTTAGCAGACTGTACTACAGACCACCTAGGTAGAGGTTATTGACTTACGTGAATTCGAACGGTGGTGTACCCCAGAACTCAAAGTGAAGCTCGGCTTCTCCACCCTCGTGAATGTCCACCACCGATTCCTTGCCCTTGCTGATCCGCACGCTCGGCATAGCATGGATGACCTTGGTGATGTCTTTGTGGGCCTTGCATTTCCCACTGGCTCCGTCACCGACGGCGTTGATGGTGAACTGACCGGGAAGTTCCGCAATACGACGGAAGTTAGCGGTTTGAGAAGTGGCCTTGCGCTTGGCGCCGTCGAAGGTGTAGAACACGTCGAATGGGGCATGGCCTGATAGCGAGAACGAAAGTCGTTCGCCCACGCAGTAGTCTACCTTGGACTCGAGCGGGATAATGGTAGGAACATCAGAGATGGCAACCCGCACCGAAGAGGCATCGAGTTCAGTCGTTTTTTGACATCCTCTAGAATCGCGAACCTTGTGGATGCTGACTTGGTGTTGCCCCAAGTCAAGATGGCGACGAGGAATCAACAGTTTGTGGCGATTGGAATTAATCTTGGGGATCGTGACAATCTCCGGTTTGGCGTTCGAGTGGTGTTTGATGTTGATCTCCAGCGAGAAGGGCGGGACACCCTCTAAAGTAATGGGGATGGATTCCTCACCATTGATATCTTCCTTGCAGAAGCCAAAGACATGGCCGGGTTGGTCGAATTTAGCGGACGGTAGCGGGTTGACCTTTTGTGTCACAACCAGAGCTTTGCTCTTGGGATCGTGGTCGTAGAGGCTGTCAGCAACTTGTGTGAACTTGTAGCTGTATTCTCCAGCCTCGGAGGTATCCATCTCCATGGAAGTCACATGAAGGGCGGACTTCAAAGCCCGTGGTCTCGCCGAAGAGAATGCACCACGGTCCGCCTTACGTCGCTTCTCATATTGGACACTGTATGGGGGATTGCCCGACAGCCGAACCTCTAGACTATCATCGTCGCCTTGACAAACCTCAGACTTTGCAAACTCCTTAGCGTCTCCAATGGGAGAACCGTCCAGGGCAGTGATTTGGGGCCGTGGAATCCACGAAACCTCAAACTCATTTGCAGACTGGTCCACCGTTCCAGGACAACCGGCGTCAAACACTTCGCTGATCTCATAAAGACCCTGCTTGTCGACGGTCAAGACACTGTTTTCGTCCCAGAAATTCTTCTGAACCGGCGCCGAGTCCACATCGACATTCTTGTACTTGACAGTCCAAGGGCGTTCGCCACTCAGCCTCAACGGGATCTCAATCTTGGAGCCCTGCAAAGCCAAGACACTTCTCTTCTTGTCAATCTGACCGAAAGAGACGTGCGGGGGCTGTGACCGGGCTTCAATATTGAGACTATCCTTGAGAGTTCGTTTGCAACCAGACTTATCCTTAACGCTGGTCAGAGACACGGTGTAGTCACCACCACTGATCAGTTTGTCAGTCGTGATAGTTGCCACATCGGTATCGGACTCCAGTGTCTTTCTCAATCTCTTCCCACTGTGGACGATCTCATACTGCAAGACCCAAGGGGCCTCTCCAAGGAAAGACACCTCCACAGAAACCGCTTCGCCGAAACAGGCGGTTCTCAATTTTCTTGATAGGAAGTGAGCCGAAGCTGGCGGTTTCACATCTTGCTCAAGCGCCGGTATCTTGAGAGACCGTGGTGAGTAGACGGCATCCTCGATGTCTATGAAACGATAAGTGTACGAGCCGGCTTCCGACGGGGTGAAATCGAGCTGCGTGCGCATTCCATCGATGGCTTGTACTTTGGAAACAACACCCTTGGAACTCTCAATGCTGTATCGGAGAGAGAATGGAGGTGATCCCGTGAGATCCAAATCCACGAGTAACCCAATAGCGTTGTTGGCACAGCGGTCAAATATCTTTTCAGCCTTGACTGTCAATTCTGGCTCAGGCGGGTTATGCAAATAGCAAGACGAAGGCTCGAGGATCTCTCCAGGACAAAACTTGGTAGAGATTGATGTCAACGCATACAAACCAGGCTCTTTGATATCCAAAGTCTGATTCATATGCTTGAGGTCGACGGTCTGTTCATTTTCTGCTTCTTGGGTGTTGCCTGTGAACGAATAACCGACCGAAAAGGGTCCATCGCTAGCATATGCGTGGCCATCAGGATGGAAGCTCAAAGGGAACCTCGTGCTATCTCCCTTGGCCACTTGCAGCGGATTCTGAGCATTGCAGTTTTGCAGTGACAACTGCGGGCGCTCGTGAACGGAAAACTGATACCACTGGGACTGCGACTTTGTGGACGGCCGGTCTCCTTCCTCAAATATGGTAGAATAATTGGCCACGTTCCCAATAGCATCGTGGACCTCTTCGATGGTGTAAAACCATTCTCCGCCGTCATTCAACGATTCGTTCAATGGAACCTCAATCTTTTGACTCTGCGCCCACGAAACGTCAGGCTGGTTGACGCTGTACAGAGCAGCAGTAGTTCTTCCATTGAGCAGCGGAGAACGCAAATGATCGGGCTGGATGTTGAGGACCGAGAATCCGCGATCGAGATTGTTGACCTGGCGACTATATTTGATCTTCAACGGAGGCGTGCCTTCCACTTCCAGTTTGAAGTCGGACAGTTCTCCTTTGCACTTGTCGATGTGTGAATTTTTGATCAAGGCTCGCGGGCAAGAGACCACCAGCGCATCAAATGTCCGCGTATGAACATCAAGCTGAGACTCGTCCACCACCCGTTGAAGACGATAGACACCAGTCTTGCGCACAGGGAAGAGCAAGTCCCGATGGAGTTGACCAGGAACATGCTTCTTTTCCGCCTGCTTTTTGAGAGTCTTCAACTGCTTCGTCGGAATGCTTATGGTTTCATTTTCGCCAGTACTAAGATCCAGACGCGACACTTCGATCAGAACCGGGTCCGTCTGGTTGACACGGATGGGCAGGTCGATTGAAGATTGCAGAGAATCAAGGCAAAGCGAGTTTCGATCCGGATTGAGGACGGCGGAGCTATTATAAAGTCAGCATGATCTTAGGTATACTTGACCGGGATAAACTTACCCCTCTGGCAGAATGTGCACAATTTGCCTTCCCAGGATCAATGACGCATTGTGAATGATATCGCCGGGCTTGACCCTGCGCTCAGAAACGGATAATTCGCGATCATATGCCACCTTTACTAGTCCAGTAACCCATGTAGCCCAAGGAATCTGCAGCTATTAGCGCGGGCCGATCAGCAGTCTAATAATAATAAAAAAAAACTCACTGGGATGCGGAACATCAAAAAGACATTTCCTACGGCGTGAAGCAGGAATAAAGTGAGCGTGGTCGGGAATGCCCACTCCAGCCAAGGTATGCGCAAAGCCTGCAACCCGACCAAGAAGATTCCATCTATCGTGGCCCATTTCAACAATAGCCAGGTTGAATCTAGGTCATCGGATGCGGTCAATGACTCATAAATCCGCCACGCGTTCAAGGCGATATATACTGCAACGACATAGAGTCGTTGGGAGGGAGCATCAATCACATTGGTGGGAATCAGTGGCACATCGGTGTTCGCGTTCGAGGGTGGCAGTCTCGACGGCTTCGAGGCCGATTTGGATGCTGATCTGAGTGGCGTTCGCACAGGCCGGGTCTCTCGTGGCTGCGATCGCGAAGGAGTCTCAAATAGCCTTTTCCTTCCAGTCCCAGGGATTGTTTTAGGAGTCTGCGGAAAGGCAGATGGGAGGAGGGGAGTGCCGTTCATGGCATGCTGTGGTTGCCGGAGCTGGCGAGAGATGAAGTGTATTTAGAGCGCAATATTGGCCCTTCTAAAGCTGTAATAGGGTTTAAACGAGGATAGATGAAGCTGTATGAAGCTGGCAATTATAGCAAGAAAAGAAAGAAACAAAAAAGTTGGAGACGCGGGAAGCGCGTCGGGAGAAGCTCGGTCCAACGACAGATGACCTAACCGCTTCTCTATTCCAACCTTGGAAGGTCATTACTTTATATTGTCTATCTCTACCTATTTCTATAAAGATTTCTTATTTCTCAATATCTGAGACTCAGCTCTATTTCTGTTTCCAGAAGAGCAAGCCTACTATCATCTCAGGGCTCCTTTTATCATAACTTCTTATTCAATCTCATCTTGAAGCTCTACACTTCCACAGCTCCCTCTACTTCTGAAAAATCAACATGGGTCCTCGAGTCAAAAGGCGCCGCCTGACGGATCCAGAAGATCTCAGTGACGATATCTGCCAACCTGCGTCCCGTCTAGAAAAAGACAGCTGGAATGGATTTTGCGAAATCGAATCAGAACCGGTATGTTTGCCTGGCAATTACATTAGCAGTCCTTTACTTACGGGATTTAGGCCCTGTTTAATGTGATGCTACGTGAATTTGGGGTCAAGGGCGTAAAGATCCAAGAAGTCGTTTCTCTAGATGAAGAAATGATGGCATTCCTCAAGTATGGTGCCCCCCAGCCCCTCACTGTGCTCTTATATACGGGCCGAGTAGCTGACCATGAGTAGTAATCCTGTCTACGGCTTGATTTTTCTCTTCCGCTGGCGTGAAGATAAAGATGGAAAGCAGGAAGCGACTTGCCCTGATGGGCTGTGGTTCGCAAACCAGGTCAGTTGCCTATTCTTTAGTTGAATCATTCCTTATTAATTATATATTAGACCGCCAACAATGCCTGTGCCAGCGTAGCACTACTAAACATTGTCAACAACATCCCAGATATTGATCTGGGAGAGAATCTACAGTCCTTCAAGGAATTCACCATGCCTTTCACCCCAGCCCTACGTGGGGATGCAATCAACAACTTTGAATTTGTCAAAAGGATACACAACTCATATGCACGGTATGCTGTTTGGTTTCGTTCTTTACGGCCCAAGTACTGACTCACTATCTAGAAAAATGGACATTCTCAATTCAGATCTACAGCTCAAGACTGAAGCTACCACTAGGAAAAAGGGATCCAAGGGCCAGGCTATTGATGAATCTGATGGCACCTTCCATTTCATTGCATTTATGCCTGTGATGGGCCAGCTGTGGAAGTTCGATGGCCTGGAGCGGCAGCCACGAGCACTTGGTATGCACCCCCCAATAGACATGCCGGGATGACCCTGCTAACTTCAGTAGGGGAATGTTCTGAAGACGACTGGCTGGGACTGGTCAAGCCCAATCTTCTGGACCGAATGGCTGCGTACGAAGAAGAGGAAATTGAATTCTCAATTTTAGGACTCGTGCGGGACCCTCTGCCTGACCTCATAAACGACTTGGCTATCAACGTGAGAGCCTTGGAAATTCTCAACCAGCGTGCCACATCTCTGTGCCCATCATCAGATACTCTCTCTTTGGATGAAACTGTTCTTGGTCTTGACCCTTTCCTATCTCTGACACGTGAAGAGATCGATACGGCAGTGATCCCCCAGGGAACCCTCGATGATTACCAGACATGTTCCGATGAGAAGTTGCAGGAGTATCAGCAAACGATAAGTAGGAATCAGCGAGAACTTCATGCACGCATTCGTGAAGAGCAGCAGTCCCATCGATCGGATGACGAGTATGCAGCCGGACGGCGGTTTGACTATGGGCCAGCGGTACGGACATGGCTTCGACGCTTGGCACAGAAGCAGCAACTGCAGGAGCTGTCCGCCCTCGTGGCCTACTGATTGGATGACCTTTTCAATCACGTTCCCGATATTAAGGGTTAGTAACTGGGTTATGTCTGATGATAGTCCCCTTTCTTCCCTTTTTCTATCTCATTCCCGTTATCCTATCCTGGTGACGTAGTGACGTGACCTCCTTTTTATCGTATACATATTTCCTGTTCAATTTATCAGGCGTCGAATAGTTCCATGTAGGCAGCCACCATTCTAAAAATACATATATAAGAAACATAAGCAACACCACATAATAAAAATGATAACAATAAGCACAAAACAATCAATAAGACATTCAAATTGTAAAAAGCCCTTGAAACTTAAGTGACCCCACCGGGCAAAAAATAGTCCAAACGTCACCGCCTCGAATGTTGTTGAGCTGCTTCTCTCTCCAACCTCCTTTTTGGATGATCTGTGATTTTAGCGTGGGATTATTCGTGGGAATCTTGAACTACACTCTATTATCCTTCTTTCGGTATAGAGGCAGGCCCGAGAGACACTAAAACCCCCTCTCAACGACCTATCTCCAATTTGCCACCCTTTCTTTCTACTTGACGCCCAGTTCACTCACTCTCTCTTTCTCTACATATCCTCGTCGCTTGAAGATACACCATGTCTGCCACTGCAGTGCCTGAAAAAGCACCAGATGATTCCTCCAAACTGAAGACCTTTCTCTCCATCCTTCGGAAGTATGCAACCCTTCATTGGTCCCCCGCACGGCTGCCTTGCGCAACACAGATAACCAGACGCCAGATGCTAATATGATTGGGAACTAGGTTCGTCGGTGTGGCGGATATTGCTTCGGTTCGCTTTTCACTGCCAGCACAACTGCTGGAGCCTCGACCAAACCTGGGTAGGCCATTGTTCGTGTTACGCTGTGCGGGGTTGGTGCTGACTGTGGATGGCGACAAGAATACTGGCATTACCTAGATCGACCCGAGACATTTGCGAGGTCAGCAAATGTGCCCATACTTGGCGGACGTTTGTGTGCTGACCCAGGAGCTACAGCATTGGCAAATCGGATGATGAGCTAGGTCGGATGTTGGAGGTGTTGCGGTTCTGGTTTACGAAGGATCTGGTATGTTTCGGCTGCTCAGATTCACTTGGCCACTCACTGATCTTGCTGCAGAAATACGTCAAGGGGAAACCGTGCAAACCATACAATTCAACCCTGGGTGAATTCTTCCGAGTGAGTGACAGTGTCTTCGGCGTTTCATCCATGGCAATTCATTGCTAACACCGTTTAGTGCAGCTGGGATGTTAACGACAATATCCCTGAAGAAGAAAACCTCCCCGGCGTCAAACCAAGCTCCAATGGCTCCTCCACCGTAACCGACGGCGACGAGAAAGTCAAAGTATGCTATCTCACAGAACAAACCTCCCATCACCCCCCAGTCTCAGCATTCTATATCGACTGCCCCGAACGAGGCGTCTCAGCGCGTGGATTCGACCAGATCAGCGCCAAGTTCACCGGCACCAGCATCCGTGTGGGCCCCGGACAGCACAACCTCGGCATCTTCGTGAATATCAGAAGGAGGGACAATGAGGAATACCAGTTGACCCACCCACACGCCCACCTCGGAGGAATACTGCGCGGAGCGCTTTCAGTCACAGTCGCCGACACATGCTACGTCACCTGTCCCAAGACGGGCCTGAAGGCGATCCTGCAGTACATGGAAGAGGGCTGGATTGGCCGGTCACAGAATAAGCTCGAGGGTGTGATTTTCCGCTATAGCCCGGACAAGGATAACATCAATCGACTGAAAGATGTCCCAGAGAGCGATATCGTCGCTCGCATCACCGGCTCCTGGCATGGAATGATATACTTCACTCCGGCAGGCACCAAGGAGCCCCGTCTGCTCATCGACATCACCCCCCTTCACCCTGTCACAAAGACGCTGCCTCCATCCGAAGAACAGCTGTCCAACGAGTCATTGAAGTTCTGGTCAGGTGTCACGAACGCCATTGTCGATAAGCAGTTCAGCCAGGCTACCAAACTCAAGCAGGATATTGAGGAACGGCAACGGCAGCGGGCTGCAGAGCGCCTTGAAAAGGGTATCGAGTGGAACCCCCGGTTCTTCACTGGCGCGGTGACGCCGCTGGGTAAGCCGGAGCTCACGGAAGAGGGACAGAAGGTCCTGGAGGGAATTCGCTCGGGCGAGTTCGCTTTGACGGAAAGTACAGTGCAGGGCGCATAGATATAATTGTGTTTCCCTCGACAGTTGTAAACAACTTCGGCGTATCTGGCATGCGACCATAACATTGAAATCGGCGTCTCTTTGTTTTACTGCCCGTTTTGATCTCTTTTTTGGTTATGCTCTTATTCTCACATACTTAGACATTCTTCTCTAGAAATCTTTTTCGTGAATAGCTGCAATGCTATTCCATTCTGGTGGTCACAGAATTGAAAATAGTATATCATACATGGGTTAAATAGAACGAGTAATCCTATTCATAAAAAGAATTACAACCTCAAAAGACTAACGCCGCCAGACTCCAATCATCAAGCACATCAACACATAATCCATCTCAGATCAGCCTCAGGCTGCGGCACTGACGACCTTGAACCCTGTAGTGACGGTCTTGGTAATCTCCTCATTCTTATGCGGCAGAAGAGACAGGGCATACGCAACATCATTCCACTGTCGCTCTGTTTCGCAACGAGGAAGTCGAGCGGCCAGCTTGTCGGCCAGCTGGCGAGCGTGTTTTTCCTGGGCCGGCATTAGCATGGATCATTAGAAATTAAAACGAGAAAGGAGAAACGTACCTTCTCGACAAATCCGATCAGGAACTTGACGATACGCCGGAGAGACGCTTCATCCAGGTTGGGCTCTGCACTCAACAAACTGAACATGTCAACAAAGTGGTTGTACACAGCATTGTCCTTGGTTGCAAGTTCCGTGAAGAACATGCGAGCCAGATCAGCGATCTTCTTGTCATCGTCCTCCAGACATTTCGCCATCTCGCCCAGTTGTCCCTTGACCTTGACTTGACCAGCCAAGATGAGGAAGGTAAGGGTCATGAGACAGGTGCGCTTGACAGAGTCATCGTCGTCATTCAAACGACGGTAGAGGAAGTCGGTGTTCTCGTCGATGAGATGGTTGAAGCAAACGGCCATGTCGCCCAGCGCAATAACAGCATTGCTACGGACGATAGGATCTTCGGACCGCTCCATGATAGTGATGAGGAGTGGCAGGTTTTTCTCACAGTACTCTGCAGACACACACATGAGTTTGGCCAGGCAAAGAGTCGCAGAGGCCTGCAGATCACGATCCGGGTAGGAATTGTTGTTGGCCAAAATCTCCACTACTAGCGGGCCAAATTTGGCCAAGAGGGAGTTCTGTCCATAGAGTAGCTCACGTTCTCGGATATGGGCCATGGCATCCTGGAAGTCATCTTCTGTTGTTCCGCCAATGAGATCAAGTTCGTCTTCTTCGACGTTGTCTTCTTTCTGGGGAGCGGCGGCTGCTTTGTTCTTCTCTTGTTCGACCTTGCGGCGTTTGAAGTCGAGTTCGCACAGCTCCAAATGCACGATCTGCTTGATTGCAACGTGGCCAACGACGTACAGCAGCTGCGAGAGTGCAGCAGATGCTGGCTTGGGCTTATATTCTTGGCCCTCGGTGGATGCAGTCCCAGGTCGTTGCTGTTCCTCTTCTCCGTTGACAGAGGCATGGGAGGAAGGTGGACGTTGTTGAAGATGTGGCGCGAAGACAAACCTGGTCTTTCGTCGGAGGATGTCGGAGCAAAGGACGTCGGGATGCTTGGACAAAGTGTAAATGGCGTTGAGCGCGTGCTCTGCCACTCCATACCATTCTTTGCTGGCTGTCTCGATCTCAAGCATGGCCGCCAGCTTGACCAAAACAGAGTGGTCGTTGGCGAGTTTGGGAATGCCAACAACCTCCTTTGATTTGGCTTGACGCCCGGGGATCATACGCCGCAAAGCAATACAAGTGTACTTGGCGAGCACAAGGTCAGCCCTTCCTAAGCCACCCAGGCCGATGCGCAGCATAGCCTCGATCTCTTTCACCACAACCTCTGGATCTGCCAGGGCAAGCATTCCGAGGACAATGATCGAACCCCTGCGCTGAGTCCGTGAGATTTCCTTCTTCTGGATACTGTAAACTTGCCATAGCTTGGCTATCACTGACTCGGACACGTTTCCAGCCTTCATCATTGTGCTGAGCAGCTGCTCAAGGCAGGTCAGTTCTGCAGGAGTTGCACCAAACGTTAAACTGATCATGTTGCGGGCGATGTAGTTTGCAGCATCGTTTGGTGAGAAAGAGCCTGGTGCATCAAAGAAGAGGCCCTTGTAACAATCAATCAGATGTGTCTGCACCCCCTTTCCTTCGTCGCTGTTGCCCTTGGTCCAAATCAGGCGCAGCATACGGCGAATCCCACCGCGGGCAGTCTCAATTTTGTACGCGTCGAGAACAACAAAGAAGTCCATGGCTTCAATAACCTCACTCTTGTTCCGGGACGAAAGTAATTGTGTGACGATGGTAGATCCGGAGTGAAGCACTTCGATGAACCGGATGGCCTCGTTGTAATACTTCCTTGTCAGTTGGAGGCGTGTCATCAATTCAGAGGTAGCAGCCTGTTCTGCGGCTTTCTGCACAGCAATAGCCTTCTCTTCGTCACTCATCCGGGGCGCTTTCGATGGAGAATCATCCGGAATCTGTGTAGCGTCATCCAACAATTCAGGGTCAACCTGAGTCATGTCGCCTGCCTCAAAGCCAGGCGTTTCAGGAGGACGCAGAGCATTCAACTCGGCGTCAACCGCGTCCAGTCTATCTGCCCACTCCTTGTATGAGAGGAGCCCACCATGCATAACACTGAAAGGATGTGTGGAAACAAGCTTGGACAGCAGCTTGATCGCATTGCGTCTCACATTGCTGCTCTTATCCTCCAAGCTCCTGGTGGCGAGTTCCGCTGCAGCCTGTCGCCTCTTCGGGAATTTCTGCTCCAGATCGCAGATTCGCATGAATACCTGGATCGCGCGACAGCGGCAGTAAGGGTTGATATCAAGGAATCTTTCTTCTAATACGTCGAAAAAGGCATTGATCTGGGTCTTATAATTATCACTGCGTTCTTCCTGTCGGCTGAGATCGGAGATGAGGTTTCCGCAGACCTCGATCACTGCACAGCGGAGAGTATATGCCTGGACTTGTTAGCGGAGCTTCGGCAAAACTAAGACAAGTCACGTACTTCGCTATCCAGCTGTTTGGCCAGAAGGGTCATTTGCTTGATGATCAATCTGGGCGCAAGTTCGGACAGTTTGATAATAAATGTCGATACAGATTTGGGGCCTCTCGTATCATTAGAATTAAATTCCTTATTTCCGAGCTCCCTACACGTAAGGTTAGCAGCTATCCGGCCAGTTCGCTGATATAATCTTACTTCAGGATCTCGTCGGAAAGCTGTGGATAGTCGTATTGTTCTGCCAGAATATGGAGGAATTCGGCCATGGGTTCGGAGAGATGCTCAAAGTAAGTCAAGCTCTGCACAATAGAAGTTTGAGCTCCTATGCTAAGTCAGCTATCGCTCAACCGGTATATGCATCCTGATACCTACCAAAGGCCTGGCCATGATGCTTGACTGCGATGCAAAGAACCTTGAAAGCATGCATGCGAATGGCCATGCTCTTCACCCGCTGCTCGCTCTCAAGGACCAGGTAGATTGTGCGTGTGAATAGGGTAATAAAGGTATCACGATCCGAAGTAGTCAAAAAAATGCGTCCTAGCTTGAGCTTCATCACCTTGCACATGGTCTCCATGGATATTTGAATCTGGGGCGTCCAATCCCACTGTCCACTATTGGCGGATTTCTTGGATTTGGGTCCTCCTCGTCGAACGGGCGCTGCTTCAGTGGGCTTCTCTGCAGCCTTGACCTCTACGGCAGACAAGGCCCACTGGAGAAGGAACCCGTACATCTCCAAAAGCTGCTTGTGGTGTTGAATGGCATCCTGGTCGTCGGATTCAAGGTCTCCATGGATGATGTCTGCCTCGACAGAGAGGCCAGAAACAACCAGATCCAAAAGTTTGCTCAAGTACTTTGCAGGAAGAAGGGTCGCGTATCTGCAAGAGTGAAAAGAATCGTCAGATTCGAGTCCAGGCGGGCGCCAGCCTCCATGGGCAAGTTGGGAAGGGACCGGTGCGCACTTTAGTAAAAATTGTAGCGAGTCAAATAATGATGCTCTTGTTAATCCTTCGGGGTTCTCCGCCACGGCATCCACGATCGGGTTCAAGATGCTGTCAATCAGCGCTGGGGAAAGTTGATCAGGATCCGCTTCGCAATCCAGCAGCTCCGGGTCCGCATCAGGAGTCGGGATCGAAGCGGGATCACTCAAATAATACTTGAGGGATTCATTTATGTCGAATTGTATTCTGTCCTCCATTGTCGCGGGTGTTAGAGGGAAAAAGAGGTGAAAGCGGGGAGAAAAGCCGATTTGTTGATAAGCTCCATTTGTTTAGCTTTTGCCCTTTTTGGTCCAACTTATGTAACCAGGCTGTCATATTTTACCGCTAATGCTGCAGACCCCTCTCATTTGTACCGTACCGTCTTGTATTGGCCGATTTGCCTGGCAGTCGTATTGTCATATTTGTCACCGCGTGGTAATTGTTGTCCGTGTTTGTGGCAGTTGCAATAAACATTGAAAGGACTTGACCTTGTCCTAACACGCGACATGATCTTATGACTCTGCTTTTCCACTTCGTTACTCAACAGGCTTAACTTAAAGACTCCTCATTGTCTTCCGTGCCACCATGTCAGCCCTCCGCGCTGCCCCAGGCATATTTGAGCTGAAGCGCAGCAGTTCCTTCCAAGAGCCACAATTGAAACACAAATACTCGCTGGGACAGGATGACGAACCAGTCTCACGAAGCGATGCTCCACCAGAGAGTGACTATGAGGAAGAGGTGGACGAATCGGTCAGGGAGGATATGAGAAAGCTCGAAGACACATTCCCAGGAATATCGGATCGGTTTCGTCTGGTGAATAGGATCGGAGAAGGTATGACTGGTTCCACCATTGGTAGGAGTCTTTACTGACGTGCCTAATAGGTACATTCTCCACGGTCTACAAAGCAGAGGACCTTCATTATGACGCACACCAAAACGACTGGGATGTCTCCACGCCAGCCCAAGACAACTATACGGAACCTCCATCCAAACGACGGCGAGTGGAAGGCGAGCCAACCGGACGGAAAAAAACAAAATTTGTCGCATTGAAGAAGATTTATGTGACGAGTAGCCCGCTGCGGATTCAGAACGAGCTAGAACTGCTGCACGATCTCCGAGGATGCGGGTCTGTTTGCCCGCTGATCACTGCTTTCCGATACCAGGATCAAGTGGTCGCTGTGTTGCCCTACTTCCCCCATACCGACTTTCGCATTCAATACCGCACATTCATGGTTGCAGATATGCGCCATTATCTACGATCCCTGATGACCGCCTTGAACTCGGTGCATGAACATGATATTCTTCACCGTGATATCAAACCGACGTAAGTGTGTCATTCTTGTTTCCTTGAACTATACTAATGTCTTTAAGCAACTTTCTCTACAATCCAGACCTGAAAGAAGGTGTCCTGGTTGACTTTGGGCTTGCGGAGGTATGATTCTTGGCTGCTATATGTTGATGCGTTTACTGACTGTCCCAACAGCGCCAAGGTTCAGAATACAGCAGCCCATGTTTATGTACTCACCAAAGCTACGTCCGCCGAAGCCGGATCCTTTCAAGCTACTACTCCAAGAACCCTCCATCCACGGGATTTTCAGCCGGCTACCCCAAGAATGATTCACGGCCATCACGACGAGCGAACCGCGCTGGAACTCGAGGCTTCCGTGCCCCGGAAGTTCTCTTCAAATGCACATCACAGACCACAAAGATTGACATGTGGTCAGTGGGTGTCATCCTTTTAACTCTGCTGGGACGTCGGTTCCCCTTCTTCAACTCTGCCGATGATATCGATGCAATGATCGAGATGTCAAGCATCTTCGGAACCCGACGCATGAAGACCGCCGCGGCCATGCATGGACAGATTTTCGAAACGAATATCCCAACCATCGGCGAGAGAGGTTACAGCTGGGAGAAGCTGGTGAAATGGTCCAGCTGTGTGGAAGATTTGACGGAAAGCGAGCAGCAAGCAACACGCCTCTTGTCTGGACTGATGGAATTGGACCCGTCTAAGCGGCTCAGTGCTGCGGATGCCCTGCAGCATGAATTCTTCACGGATCCCGTTCACCATGATGTGGAATGGGGAGGCAACCCAGAAGAGAGCGCGGAATCAGAAGAGGAGCAGGAAGATGATGCAGATGAGGTGGCCATGCTATGAGACCCAAGATTATTTGTACGATACGAGAGAGTGGTTTTATGCCATACAGCAGACCACTTGATTCATGACAATGAAGCAGCCTTCATGACTTCAAACAATCCCGCAGTATGCTTATCTATCCTATTTGTAATACTAACTGGCCTCTCCAAAATCATAATGCCCGGTCTCCGCGGCATGCTTCGTAGCACCCCTCTCTCCAGTAAATGTGCCCCCGCAAATGTTGCAGCGAACAGTAAACCCAGAAGTGTCCGTGTAGTAGTGCTTGCCTTGCAACACCCGACACAATTCTTTGGCCTTTTGCAGAACAACCGGATCAACAGCCTCAAAGATCTTTGTGTCGTCATGCGCCAGTGGGTTGGCACGGGTATAGGGCGGTCGGGATGGGGACAGGGCAAGGACATCGTAGTGAATACCCGAGTACACGACAATACACCGCGTCGGTGCTCCTTCATTAAACTGGAACATGTTCAGAGTCTGTACATCGATGGAGCATATCTCAATATTGAAGTATTCGCTGAGAATCTTGAGCTCAATAGCGCCACCCCACGAGTCCTCGTTCTGAATCCAGGCACAGTATTCGTCCGGTTTTTTGCCCAAAATTGCTGCTGTATATTCTGACGGGTTTGATTGAATAGCTCCTGCGACGATAGATCGCAGCTCAACCATCGTGTCCATATCGCCCATGACTGCAGCGCCAACTGCTCGGAAAAGGCACGAGTTGTCGTCGGGCATCACCCGCAGAACGAACGTTCCAGCATGTTCTGGGGAGGCGATTTCTGGCGGGTCTTCGGCTGTGATCTCATGTGGTCTTTGCGACATTGATGGCTGCGATTGCCGCGATGGCTGTGATGGTCGTGATGGTCGTGATGGCGGTATTCGGGCTGTTGGCGCATCGTCGTTCACGCCCCGGATGGCCCCTTCTTTCTGTGCAACGATGAGTGACTCTCCATTTAGATTTATCCCAGTTTCTAATATCCTTTGGTCTGGTTGGAAACTGTCAAGCTCGAGGGGTTTGAGAGGGTATCCATATTTGACGTCAAATGTAGCAAGGCCGCTCTTCTCCGCAATTTGGGTTTGAAGATCTTTGATAGTTGCGGTGTCGTCCAAGGTAACAGTTGACTGACCTAAAGGCCCGCGCACTCGAATTCTCATGGTGAGAAAGTCACAAAGAGGCAGAGGGCTTAGGGAACTGTGAGATGGACAATCTTGAAGTTCCACTGATAGGGAGATATGACGACTTGCCGTGTGGGGTATGGGTATACCTGAGGCAGTCTGTGATGCAAACCAAATGGTATAAGATTCCCTTATTTTGAGTGAGAAGAGTAGGATATATGAATAAGTTCTCTTCTTCAGGTCCAAAACATTGAAGTCGCAAACACTGCTGCAAACAGGGTGAGACTCCCCAGGTACCAAGCCAATCATAGCAACCATAGCCTTGTAGAGCAATGTATATTGACAGTACGGAGTATGTTGGACAGTGACAACTCCAACCCCCACAGTAGGCAAGTATAGCACAAATATCCATAGAAAAGATGCGAATACATAATAAATGGAATGATGCAGTTCAGATACACAGTCTCATGAAGAATGTGAAGTTATCGTCATGAAGCTTGTCATGAAATTACCGTATGTAACGGCAAGTGGCTGCTGAGTCAGCAATAGCTTCACGCGCTCGTAAAACATTCTCCGACCTCTCCAGGGCTTCCCTACTGTCTTACCTGAATTCTGGCTTGCTTATTTCGATTTCTTAGATCTCAACGGCTGCCAAATTTACCGCGTGGAAATGCGCCTGTCGCCAACGACATGGACTCCGAGAAAGAGCTGTCGCAACCCCCGCGTGAACAACCCGTCAACTCCATCGAGAATGACGGTGCGGTCACCCGCGAAACATGGAAACTGATGATGGATGTGGTCATGGCAATTTATGACTACCGAGAAGAAGAGTGCGATTCAACCTGATATATAAAGTGAGAGCTGGCTAATTATTATCTTGAGCAGTGGTCATGACCCGTCGCGATTGTTCCATCGCAGTGTCAACAAGCGCTATGTTCCCGACTACTACGATATCATCAAGGAGCCGATGGCCCTGAGTATTTTGAAAGCGCGCATCAACAAACGGGAATACAAACACTTTTCCGAATTTGTCCGCGATTGCGCCTTGGTGAGTGGTTGCGCCCCTCCAGGTTTGCTACTAGCTAACGATCTAGATCCCGCACAATGCGCAAACATACAACAGACCTAGATCACAGGCCTACGAAGATGCGCTGGTTGTCAAAGTATGTTTAAGTAAACTCAGCCACCCTAGACGTTCGACTGACAATTTCCAGGAAGTTTTCGCCTCCGAGTTCAGAAAGCTGGCCGCTCAAGGCCTAATACCCGCTGATGAGGCAGAGCTACCCGATCTTGGAGAGATCCCCGAGGCCGATCCGCTGCCTGACGATGAAGAGGAAGAAGAGGAGGAAGAAGAAGATGAGGATGAGGACTCTGAAGATGAGGGCCGGCGAAGAAAGAAGCCCGGTCCCAAGCCCGGCTTCAAGCGTGGATTGACTCAAAAGCACGAACCCGACCTTCGCAAGAAAAGAGGCCGTCCTCCCCGCGTGGACACACCTATGGAAATCCGCATCAAGACAATTCTAAAGGGAATTCGGAAATTCAAGGGCGCCGGTGGCTACCTGAAGATCACACACTTTGAACGCCTCCCCGACAAAGCCGCGTATCCGGACTACTACATGGAGATCAAGGAACCCATCGCCATCGACATTATTAAGCGCAAGTCCAAGCGCAAGAAGTACAACTCCGTTGACCATTTCATGCGCGATCTTGATCTCATGTTCGAAAATGCCAAGGCTTACAATCAGTCCGACAGTCAGATCTTCAAGGATGCGGTTGATCTGCAAACCGAGTCACGGAAGTTGGCCGACCAAGAAAAGAAGAAGCCAGATAGCGAATTCCTGATGGAAGACGGACGCTTCCCACTCCCTGATGGTATTCTCCACCGCGGTGAACTGTGGAAGGTTGGCGACTGGGTTCATATCCAAAACCAAAACGATGTGACCAAGCCCATCGTTGCGCAGATCTACCGAACCTGGCAGGACTCGGATGGAGAGAAATGGATCAACGCATGTTGGTATTACCGTCCTGAGCAGACAGTGCATCACTTCGAGAAGCACTTCTACCCCAACGAGGTTGTGAAGACTGGGCAATACCGAGACCACCGGATTGATGAGATTGTGGATCGCTGCTTCGTTATGTTCTTCACCCGCTACAGCCGTGGTCGCCCAAGAGATCTAGCACCGGATAAGGAAATCTACGTGTGTGAGGCTCGATACAATGAGGAGAAACACAAGTTGAACAAGATCAAGACATGGGCCAGCTGTCTGCCAGATGAAGTTCGAGAGAAAGACTACGAAATGGATCTCTTCGATGTGCCGCGCAAGATCAAGAAAATTCCCAGTCCGATCAAGCATCTTCTCAAAGAGGATGCCAAGGAGACCGATGACCTTCCTCGGCCGACCTGGGGAGCCGAAAATGCACCCCCTGTTGCCGGTGCTGTTCACCGCCGTCCACGAGATGAGAATGTAAGTCTTTTCCCACCTGACAAGAGATCCTAGAAAGCTGACAGCATTAGGAATCCCCACCACCCGAGCCAACCCCATCCCCGCCTCCTCCTTCTTTGCCCCAGTCTGTAGCACCCCCGCAACTGAGCCAGTCACTCCCCAGAACGGCCATGAGCCCAGGCACTGCTGCACACCAAACACGTGCCCCAGCAGCACCCCCAATAATCATACACACCACTCCCGCTCCCATCCGGCCACCAGGCTTCCACCAAATGATCCCATCCCAAGCCTTTACAGCATCCCTCCAACGCCGCGCAAGCAACCTCGCCACCCCGCAAACACCAGCAGGCGCATACCAGCCCTCACCACCGGCCCAGGCATACTCAGCGGCCCAGGCATCGCCCTACACCGGATACCCTCAAAACCGCATGCAAGCCCCGCCAGCCGTGTACAACCCCAATGCACCACGGCCCGTAGAAGTCTTCCACCTGAGCGACGCAGCCAACGCCGCTATCCCAGAAGATATCCGCGACCAATTCCACTGCGACGACCAGGGGCGCGTGCTGTTCTTCTCTGCGCCGCCGGTGGACTTCATCCCGTCCTCGAAACAGAAGCTCGGCCATTCCCTCAAATACCTTGCTACCAAGGAGGAGCACCAAAAGAAGGTCGAGGAACGGAAACGCAAGCTGGCCGATGAGCAGATGGAACGTGAAGACGCTGCGAAGCGCCAGCGAGCTGAGGTGGACACTGAGCTTGCGGGCCGTGCCGAGGCGCTTACTAGTAAAGCGCTTGAGATCTTGATGCGGCGCGTCGTTACGGGTACAGATCAACTGTATGGATATCTCCATCAAGCTCGGGATGGTGATATTATGGACCTTGATGGGACGCGGGAGCGTGGTGATGTGGCAGATCGCCAGGCTATGGAACAGACGCAGCGGATTCAGGCTCAGTCTGCGAAGGATGGTTTGGTCAATTTGAAAGGTACTGCTTTGTACCTGGATGAGGCTTAGTTAGAAGAGAGATGAACGTATTGGCGTGGTTTCATGATTTGGTTTCAAAAGGCGTAATCTTCGAGGCGTCTATTTTAGTTTAGGGATGTGTATGATTAGGTTGAACATGAATTGATTCTTATTTTAGGCCTTTATGCACTTCAATCGCTAAATAGCACATGTCAATTATAAGCATATGAAGTTTTCTCTACTGTTGTCACTGAGTTTCAACTTGGTGTTAGTTCTAACTGGAGATGGTGATTCTATATATAGATGCCCTCAACAACAATTGAATATCAACCCGTTGTCAAGAAAACTGCATACTTAAAACATCTACTAGATGGTTATCTACAGAGAGATCACGAATTCATCAAGGAATTGTTTATTTGCACATCTCCAGTTTGTACATGCCTGCAGTCCTGAGAATCAAGACCACATATTCCGACAGTAGGGGACAAAGAACAAGGGAGAAGAAGACAAAGCAAGCACCTAGGAAACACCAGAGATCGCAGTGGTCGTGTAATCATGAAACAAAAGCAGATATGAAATAGAAAAGAGAGTCGAGATATGTCAACCCAGGTACAGTGCGATACCCAGAAATGAAACGAATAAAAACAGTGAAAAGGCAGAGATTAATACAGTAAATGCCTGGTTAGAGAATCCTCTGAAAGACCAGCAATGAGAAACACATATGACTGATCTAGATGATTCCAAACGATGGAATAAAACAAGGCAGATGATGCTGAGTGCCTGTCTATGATGAGAGGGAAGTGAAGTTTTTCTTGTCGCCTTTTGTCTTTTTGCCGAACTAAATATCTCTTCTGAAGAGAGAGAAGGAGGTATTATTGTCTTGGACCCTCTTTTGCTTTGTTGCTTTGGTGTATGTTGCCCAATTGAACTCCAATACCTTTTTCCTGTGTTTTTGGTGAATATGAACATGGCCACAATGCTGGACTTGGACTTGATGTATCGCGATGAAATTGGTTTGAAACAAAGAGGACAGATTAGGAGGAGCTTTGTTTGTTCTCACTCCACGAGGCACTGTTCCGCTTGTTGCCGACCTCTTCCTCCATGTCGAAGACAAGGTCACTCTGCTCTTCCTCCTCAATCTTGGTTGTATTGACAGGAGAGGAGATGATTCGGTCAAGGCGGCTGGTAGGAAGACTAGGACCGGCAGAAGACTGGCGAGCAGAACCAGGGTGAAGACCCATGCCACCGAGCTGCTCAGAAATCATCGACATTGAGGATTGACGTCCAGGGCTCGAGATAAACGACGCCCCTTCGTGGGATGCCCGGCTACTGCCAATGGGTCCCAGGCTAGGACTGGTGATTGGGTTCAGTGATGACTCACGGAGAGGAGAACCGATGTGGAAAGAGGATGAGCCATGAGATTCCTCTTCCTTGCGCTGGCGCTGCTTTGCAAACAATGCACCAAACCGAGACGGGCTCGATGCCAGTGGAGAACCAGTCTTAGAGAAGCTGGTGCTGGTCATGCCAAGGCCGCTGATGTCGCGGTGACTGGAGCTTAAGTCGTTATCAGTTCGGGAGAGGCGGCGCAGCTTTTCCTGCGGAGTCAGAACATCGTCGTGCAGGTTGACTGGTAGGTAATCCTCTTCCATAGGGAAGTTTTCATCCCAGTCCTCAAGGGCCGTGGGACGGGGAACGCTAGCAGAAAGCATGCGTGGCTTGACGGGGCGCGACGAGTGCATGAACCGGGTGCCGATTGTATCTTCGGGAGCAGGAGGAGAAGATCCGACGTTTGATGAAGGCTTGCGCAAGCTGGTACCATAACCGATGTCGCGCAGGTTCCGGAATACATCTGCTTGTCCCAGTCTCTGGGGTGGCGGCGATTCCAATCCAAATTGCGAGGGCATAGAAGCAGCCACCGGGCCGTAACGGGCAGCATGAGAGATACCTTGGCTGTCGAACGAAGCCGGGAGGCCCGCGTCGAGAGCGCTAAGGTGGTTGTTACTAGGCGACATGAGATATCGGACATCTTCAGCGGGAGATCCATACTTGGAGCCGGCATCGGAGACCAGGCCCGTATCGATCGTGGGGATTCCATCATAGGATGGCTGTTGCTGCCCATGCAGGGATCCATATTCCTCCTGCGGGGCCAGCGGCGGGGCATATCGAGGCTGCTCGTGGTCGTTCATGCGCTGTTGGGAGAGTACTGAGTTGGTCAAGGCGGAGTCCTGGTTGACATAGGCCTGCGGATTCACCCGGCCACCCAGATTGAGGTGGCCGCTTCCCATTCCCATGTTCCCAGTCGGCCGGTTGACTCTCCGTCCATCGGGTAGGATGTGCGCCAGTGCACATTTTGCGCCGAACTTGCAGTTTCCCTAAAAGCATTGCCTCGTTAACTTCCGACAGCCTCGGAAAACGTGCAACGAAGGGAGAGCTTTGAAATGGTGCCAATTTCATACCTTTGCAAAATACTTGCAAGGAGCGTAGTCAATTCCGGCATCGGTGGAGTGTAAAAAAGGACAAGCGGGGCCTGCCTGACAGGCACCCTGGCGGAAGAATTTGCAAGGAACATGTTTGGTGTCTGCATAGACGATTGCAAAGGATTAGCTCGCATTCTAGACACAGCTGCAATAATGGGTATGAATGAATCGAAGTCAAGACTCACTCTTATTGCTCTGATTCGGCGGGCTGCGGGCAACATCAAGTGCTGATGGATTGCGAGAATGTCCATTCTGGGGATTCTGTGCCCCAGAAGCAACCGGAAGAGGTGCGCGACCTCTCATCTCTAAATGACTGGCTCGACGAGATGACGGAGGACGAGAAGACACCTGCATAGAGAAGTGGGAGGGGTTGGAGATTGGAGAGGGGAAAGAGATAGGCTCGGCGGGCGGTGGGGGGATCAATCTTAGATGATTCACAATCGACAACCTTGGAGCACCTCGAGAGAATGTGAAGAAGTATGAAATTGTAGAGTGAAGAAATACATTAAAATAATATTTAAGATAATACATAACATCATTATCTTATACAATCTCACCACAGCCTCTCCTCCTCATGACAATGTCCATCTGATTACGGTTCGCCTCCCTCCCCGTTGCCTCCATTCCATTCTCGAGCTGCTCTTGCATACCGGCGAATCAGATATTCATGGGAAATAGAATGAACAGCCTAAAACCCTCTCGAATCCCTCTGTAGCTCTCGTTGTAAACGTGCACATCGTAGGTGTCAAATGATGTGACCGAGTGGGGAATAGTTAGAGAGATCACCACTCCGCGATGACCTCTTATTGGAGCGTCCCTTCAAGCCCCAAAGATTCCTGATAACATTTGTCAGAATTCCCGAGCATAGACGATTGGAGAGCCGCTAGGCTATGTCACTCGTCATTTTCAAAACTCACCCACAGCTCCGCCGCAGTCATGTCCTCCGGAAGTACCTCAGAGCATTGTCCCCAGAGGTTGCAACAGATCCGACGGCGCACGTTGGCATGCCGTTGCCAGTGTTTCCATTCCTTTTCGAGTTTTTCTCTTTCTTCTGGTGATATCTGAACGGAGTCACCCTCGTGGCGACTTGCTAAGCGAGCCTGAATCATCGACCCTTCGCTCTCAAGACGGCTGATCTCCTGCCGCAGATCGGATATCCGGGGCTTTGCATGCAGGGCTGCTAATTCTGCTCGGGCCTTCTTTTCGTTTGCCTTCAGAATAGCAATCTCATCCTCGAGCCTTTTGATGTCAAGCTTGAGAGCCGCGGCTACCTCTGGAGATGTGATATCCGAGGGATCCTGTAGAGCATGGTAGACTGTCTGTTTGCCTATACGTCATTTGATTTAGCATTTGTCTATCTCCAAGGATACCCAACTTACCAGAAACTCTTCCTTCAATCTCTTTCTTCTCATGCAAATCCCGGAGAAGCTTTGCGGCTTGCGCTAGAAACCCATATATTAGGAAAGCATAGACAAGCTCACAGAACCAGTCTTACTTTTGGTCACTTTGTTGTGAAGATTTGCAGAAACGTCAATGGCCTAAAGCACGCTTGATCAACAGTCTTTTCCTAGGGCTGTCCTGAACAGTGAGCGAACCGAATATGGGCGACTGTGCCGGGCGATGTTAGCTACCACTTCGAGTTTAGAAACAACTCATCAGAGCCAACATACTTTTGTTGACCTGCAGGTTCGTCGAGTAAGTCATTGAGCAAACATATGTCAAGGTCCAGGTACTGTCCGGATACTCACGAAGGTATTCCCGGATCATTGAAGCGTCTGTGCGAGGGTCAAAGTCAGCAGGTCAGCTTCGAGGATCTCTCCAAGAGAATATCTAACCATCTTGTCCGGCAGACGCATCACTCTTGGGCTTACGTGGAGCCATGCTGTAATGATTGGGAAGAGATCGCACTGAGTCGCACTGAGTTGGTACAAGTAGATGAAGTTCATACCTCACGTGGAAGAAGTGACACTACAATGGAAGAGTTTGGAGCTTTCAATGAAAACAATAAATTCACAACTACTCTTGATATCTAATTCATGCCCAAACTTACAAGCCGAACGAATATGTCCAGGAAAAAAGAAAAAGGCTCAAGGCAGAAATAAAATGGGTGCAAATGCAGTTATGTGGAAACAAGGAGACCCATTGAGACCATTCGCCTCCCGGACGGCGAAAACTTTTGAAATCCCGGGATTATAGAAGGTAGAGAAAATGCAAAGTTGAGCGGAGACAGTCAAACATGCTTGGATAAAAAGGGAACAGAACCTGGGGTATCACATCACAATCTGCAAAAGTCAGCCTTGGTTCGAGTTCGACCGAGAAAAAGTAGGGTTTACGTACGCAATCACTGTCTTTACTCGCACTAGGAACACCCATCTCTTCAAAGGTCTTGGGTCCCTTACTTGGCGGCTTGGCGGGCTTCTGCTGCGGCGCGGATGAAGTCGACGACGCAACTGAGGGCGCCGGCTGAGGTGTGGAGGCACCCGAGCCGTGAGACGGTTGTCGAGACTCCATACGTGGAGGGAACGAGGGCGAACCAGGCGGGCGGGGAGATGCTACACCGGGCGAGGACATTCCGGTATGGCTAGAAACAGGAGGTCTAATAGGCTTGCGATCCGGAACCGAGTCAAGTCGAGGTGGTGGGCGTCGCCCACCTGGAGGCGGCATTGGTGCAGAATAGCCAATGTCGAGACGAGGAGCCCCGCCGGGACTGATCATGTTACCAGCCTGCGGACTGGTAGGCCCAGCAGGGGCGCTGAGAGGTGTTCCAGGACCAGGCTGGCGGTAGTTCATGGGTCCGTTAGGCCCATAAGACGGAGTGCGAGATCCGGGGCCTTGGACGGGGCCTTGGGGAGGTGGGCCACCATATCCAGAGGGTGCATTGGGTCGAAGGTTGGGGTTGACGCCGAAAGCAGAGCTTGGGCGAGTGTCTGACAGCTGATAACCCTGTTGGGGCCGGGGACGAGTGGAGTGAGGACGATCGGGGTAAGGAGCCGCAGATGGCGGGCCGTCAGACAAGGTCATTCTCGAGGGATCTGGCATTTGGATATTCTCTGGGGTTGACTCCAGTGAATTACCCCGCTGATGAGCGGTATATCGCGTCGACTTGATGCGTGAGATTGCGATCTTCTCATGGTCCTTTCTGGACAGAGTCTTTGAGCGTGAGATGCTTTCAATGCGACCAGATGCATCCTTGTTGCCACTGGCAGCGGCCTTGGCGTACCAAGAGCGGGCTTCCTTAATATCCACTGGCACAAAGATGCCAACCTCATAGAAGTACCCCAGAGCGAATTCAGCTGTGGGAAGACCACTCTGCGCCGCGCGCTGGGCATATGTAAATGCCAGCTCGTCGTTCTTCTCAAAGATACCCTCATGTCCACACAGGAACCATTTACTGATCGCCATCTCAGCTTCAGGCTCGCCCTGACGGGCTGCCAGTGCATTATAGTGCAGAGACAGCGCGGGGTTGAAATCACAGCTCAGTTGACAGAGTTCATATGCAGCACCCATTTTGACCTGAGCCTTGGCGAACCCATGATATGCCGCCTTTTCGATATTGACACGTGCCAGGTTCAGATCAAGGGGTAGGAAGCTTTCCGGGACGCTCACTTGAGGGAGCTCTCGAGCCAAGAGCATGCCGTATACCTTTTCTCCATTAGAACAATTTTAAAGGTAAAATTTATATAGAACTCACGTATGCACCTTGAGGTGCGTTCTGGTCGCATGACTGCGCCGCCAGCCGGATGTATTCTAAACCAGTATTAAAATCCTGGTGCTGTCCATGCTGACCCAAAAGGATCATCATTCCCAGGCGCTGCAAGTATGTTAGTGTCTCCACTGTCATACACAGTCTAACTGATAACCCACATAGTATGAGGCAGAATCCGCCCGCGCAACACCCCGCTGGTAATGCTTTATCGCCTTCTCCGGCTCACCCGAGCTTTCAAACTGCATTCCGATCCGGTATTCGGCACGCGCATATCCCTTCTCAGCGGCTCGGGAATATGATCGGAAAGCCTCCTTGCGATCGACGGGGCAGCCAAATTTGCCAAACTCGAGCCACATGCCTTTGATAAATTCTGCTTTGGGATGGCGCTGCTCGGCGAGAAAGCCGACGATATTCATCGCGTCGACCCTTAGCTGTCGCTCCACCTGCGGTGTCTGCGGGCGTGGCGGCTGGGTCAAAGCGAGGCGGGCATCGTTCTGCGCGGCGACCTCGACAAAGGCGAGAGCATCCAAGGCCCATGCAAGTTGCATCTCCGGGTCTGTGGTGGACAGCACGGCCATCCGCGCGCGCTCTAGGTTCGCTTCTCTCTGTTCATCGGTGGGTGGGACGTTAGGTGGTGGGTTCCGCAAGACCGGGAAAGGTGAAAAGTTTGGGTGATCCATGCTGTCATAGGTCGCGGACTGCGCGTAGGAACTGGGATCGTGAACTTGACTGTGTTGGGGTGGACCTTGGACGGCGGAGGAAGTGCGCTCGGGATAGGTGTGGGCGCGTTGGTATTGCGGTTGTTGTTGCCCGCGGCGGGGGTCAGCGCGGTATTCCATCTCAGCAATATTGTCCTGCATGTTCTCGGGCACTTCTGGCATCACTCTAGGGTGAATTAGTACTCGTATTTTCGTCATTTGCATGGTTTGCAGGATTTGCAGAAATCGCAGAAATCGCAATAGATGTATCCAACACCATACCTTTGAGGAGATGGGGATATGACCTCTGGCATGTAGAAGTCATCTTGCCCCCCTGGATACCATGTTGCACCTAGGCGTTGCTGACCACCCTGTGGTGGTCTGTTCATTGTAATTTTGTTAGGAAATTGTCCAATCCCTCTAGTGTGCCAATAGTTCGAATGTCAAGAAAGAGGGGGAAATGAAAAGAGGAGTTCAAAGTGGCTTCAGGGAAAAAAAGTAGACCCCACCCCCGCCAGGTCAAACGGTTATTAATAGTATTTGAAAAGTATTTTAATAGTAATTTGGGGATATCAGATGGTTAAGTATACATATTTGGCTCAGCCTCATAGATATGTGAGACAAATATAAATAACAAAATTTGGAAACATGGTAACGGAGTATATGTACAAGTGTATGTCAATAATTGTATTGCAAAACAATTATTTCCCCTTTTTCCCTTCTGCCTTACGAGACTCCACTTTATTTTTATCTTCCTTTTCCTTTCCTTTAGACTACTGTACTCCCGTATACGTATCCGGAGTATTTCCTTACTGAGTATCGTCTCCATGGATTTCCACCATCCCTATACGCCATACGATATCCAACAACAGTTTATGCAGGCACTGTACACCTGCCTAGAAAATAGCAAGGTCGCGGTATTCGAATCCCCTACTGGTAAGTTGTTATTCCTATTCCATTCTATTATTTTTATCTCACATAATATCATACAGGCACTGGAAAATCTCTAAGCTTAATCTGTGGTTCTTTCACCTGGCTTCGAGATCACAAGCGAAAGGCCTTCCAGGAAACTGTTGATGCAACATGTGGGTCCCATTGTGAAACATATGACTACTTTGTACATATCAGCTGTCTGACATTCCAGGCGATGACGATGAGCCCGAGTGGATGATCGAACATGCCAAACGGGAATCCAGTCGTGCTATTACTGAAAAGAGACAAGAATTTGAGGCCCGACTAGCCAAAATTCGACAAGAGGAAGAACGTTTGAAACAGGCCCAGGAGAGCGCAGATCGACCCCGTAAAAAGCAGGTATGCATATATCCCCCCCGATTGAGGCAAGAACATTATACCAACGAGAAGAATAGCGACTTCAAGACTCAGCACCGGAACTTGTTGAAGATGACGGTCAATTTGTTCTCGATGACTATGATAGCGACACAGGAAATCAGAGAAAGCAGAATGACTCTGGGAATTCCGACGGCCTGTCTGCAAGCACTTTAGCCTTGCTAGAACGGTTTCAAGGAAAATCCTCGACAAAGAAAGATAAAGAGGATGACGGAGATGATGAGATCAAGATCTTTTTTTGCTCAAGAACGCATTCACAGCTAAGCCAGTTCGCCGGTGAATTGCGACGAGTCACCTTCCCATCTAGTATACCTAGCGACCTCGATCCAGAGAGCAAAGATGACCTCTCCAAACTCGAAGAGCGTGTGAAACACCTGTCGCTAGGGTCAAGAAAGAACCTGTGCATCAACGCTAAAGTCCGGGCCTTGGAGAACAACACCGCAATTAACGAAAAATGTTTAGATTTACAGCAACCGGGTGTCGCAGCCGACAAGAAGTGCTCCTTCATTCCCTCCAAAGACGACGAGGCTCTGGCTCTGGAGTTTAGGGACCATGCTTTGGCGACAGTCAAGGACATCGAAGACATTGCCCAGGTTGGGAAAAAGCTCGGAATATGTCCTTACTATGCATCTCGTCCAGTTATCAAAAACAGCGAGGTCAGTTTCACGGGAATAGGTATAACGTCGGCTCTAACCTAAGACTAGATTGTCACACTTCCATATCCCTTGTTGCTGCAAAGATCAGCTCGTGAGGCCCTCAATCTCTCCGTCAAAGGTCATATTGTCATCATCGATGAAGCTCACAACCTCATGGATGCCATAGCTGGCATTCATTCGGTAACTATCTCACTGGGTCAACTGCAGACCGCCATCGGGCAGCTGACAACATATGCCCGCAAGTTTAAGAACAGACTAAAAGGGAAGAATCGAAACTATGTTGCACAAGTCATCCGGTTGGTGAGCTCCATTGCGGAGCATATGAAGTCAATCTCTCAGCAAAAAGGACCATTAGAAGGCTCGGTGCAAACGTCGGATCTCATGGCTGGAAAGGGAGTTGACCAGATCAACCCTTATAAGCTTTCTAGATATCTGCAAGAGAGCAAGCTCGCCCGGAAAGTTGACGGCTATCTCGAATCCTCGCAACAGCCACCTGGTCGGTCCAAGGATAAGACAACAATGCCGGTTTTGTTTCATATTCAGAGTTTTCTTCTTCCTCTTATGAACCCGTCGGAAGAGGGGCGGCTCTTCTTTCAGAAAAGCCAAGACGATGTCTTGTTGAAATACATGCTTCTGGACCCTACAAACCACTTTCGGGAAATTGCCGAAGATGCTAGGGCTGTCATTCTAGCTGGCGGTACTATGTCTCCTGTAAGTACAGATCATATCTTCTGACATTGTAACTTTCTAATGCTCTCAACAGATGTCAGACTACGTGAATCATTTGTTCTCGTATCTGCCCCCAGAACGACTAGGGACATTCAGCTATGGCCACGTCATTCCAAAATCTAACTTGGTGGCCCAGTCATTGACTCAAGGGCTGATGGGAAACGAATTTGATTTTACATATGAGGCACGAAATTCTGAAAAGATGGTATGTACTAAGTTCCATGCTTCGAAAAGGTTTGTCATTGATATATCAACTAGGTCACCGACCTTGGGCGTACGATAGCAACCTTCTGTCAAGTTATCCCAGACGGCGTCGTCGCCTTCTTCCCCAGTTATGACTATCTCAGTCATGTTCTGAGTGTCTGGAAGAAGCCCATTCCCAACGGGAACGGCCAAAGCACTCTCAATCTACTGGAACGGAAGAAGAAGATTCTCCACGAATCTCGCGAAGCAGTGATTACTACAGACGACTTGTTGCAGGAGTATACCGAGGCCGTTGAATCAGGATCAGGAGCCTTGCTTCTATCTATCGTGGGCGGCAAGTTATCAGAAGGCATTAATTTCTCCGACAAGCTAGGGCGCGGTGTCTTTATCATCGGCCTCCCATTTCCCAATATCCGCAGCGCTTTCTGGCAGGCCAAAATCCAGTATCTCGAGGAGAAGACCTATAAACAGGCTTCTGGGTCCGAGCCGGAAAGGAAAGCAGCAGGTAAGGCAGCGGGCAGAGACTTTTACGAGAATTCGTGTATGCGCGCAGTAAACCAGTGCATTGGTCGAGCCATCAGGCATGTAAACGACTATGCCGCTATCATCATGATCGACCGCCGGTATGAGTCGCCGCGGATCCAGCAAAAACTGCCTGGTTGGATTAGAGAGAGCTTGGTGCCAGCATCTCCCACACGGGGGGCTCAGCTGACTGTACAAAGACTTTCAAAATTCTTCGCCGAGAAAAGGCGATAGCGGGATATACACTGTAATAAAAACGCTGCAAATGATACAGCATCATATTCCTACATAAAATCCATGCTCATTGGACACTTCGGCATGCGTACATGTACCAAAGCCCTACCTTGTAAAAGACCGGCAGAATGAGAAAGGGCGGTGTATACCGTAACTATAAATGCTGACAAAGCCAGGGTTAGGGTTCCACCATCACGGGACAAGCGAATTTGCTAGCGCACACTCTAAGCCTGGATTTCACCACCCTGTAGACGGAACGATCCCTTCAACGCCAAACATCAACGGTCTTGTCGAAACAACACCGCCGACAAGATGCCTACCCGTTTCTCGAACACCCGGAAGCAGTGAGTCGTCACCCTTTCCTGTGCCGTCTGAATCGAATCCTTTTCTCGTCGATCGCGACCAGAAAAGCCAAATTCGTCATACTGCAGTCGCAATATCACACCAACATATCACTAACCTTCATTCTCTCGCAGCCGCGGCCATGTGTCTGCCGGTTACGGTCGTATCGGCAAGCACCGCAAGTCCCCCGGTGGTCGCGGTATGGCCGGTGGTCAACACCACCACCGTACCAACATCGACAAGTTCCACCCTGGTTACTTCGGTAAGGTTGGTATGCGGTACTTCCACAAGACCAACCAGCAGTTCTGGAAGCCCACTGTCAACGTTGACAAGGTACGTTACATCTACATTTTGCAAGTCGATTCGATATGAAGAAGAAATTGTGGATTGGTCTGGAGGTGGAGGTGCGCAAATGGCAACGATATGCAAAGAGGAGGGAGGCCAATCGACAAGAATATAAAGAATTACGGAATTCGCATTAGGAGGACAATTGTCGCTAACTGCGACTTCTCCACAGCTCTGGTCCCTCGTCCCCGCTGAGCAGCGTGACGCCTACCTGAGCGGCCAGAAGACCGATGTCGCCCCCGTCATCGACCTCCTGCCCCTCGGCTACTCCAAGGTTCTTGGAAAGGGCCGTCTCCCCCAGATCCCCGTCGTCGTCCGTGCCCGCTACGTCAGCCGTGACGCCGAGGAGAAGATCAAGGCCGTCGGTGGTGTTGTTGAGCTCGTCGCATAAGCGTTGATTCGTCGAGAAATTTCTGGAGAAGGCGGGTGAATAGGGGCAATTTCATGAAGCCCTAGCTGTGTTCGTTCGCCAGCATGGAGGACGATCGGAACTCAAAATGAGATCTGCCCGAACCGAAATCAAGTCGGTTCGGGCGGTCGAAAATAAAAAGGGTTTTTTTGTATGCAATCAGCATAGCATATGGCCTCCAAATGCCCTTACGATTTCATCAGTGTGTTGAACAAATACCATAAGGAGGATTTTTTTCACATCTTTGTGGTTCATGCGTGCCCATTGCCATGACTGGTGGACGGCAGAGTGTTGGTTCTGAATTATTGAGCCATGCTCATGTAGGATGACTGAGGCTGCCTTGCTGCGGCATGAAAGGCTTCCCAAGGTTATTGCGCAGGTCCGCTGTTAAAGCTACGGTCATCTTCGTAGATTTGGGGTCTATCAATCTGTCATATTACGATTGTAGAACTACGGGGATGATAAGGCCTTGTCATATCATATCTAATTTCATTCTATATTGTAGACATCTAAACATTTACGACCATGGCCTAGTGCTCAGATCTTCGACTCTCGCACCGAACCCCGTCGACCCGCGTTATCGGGACCCGCGGCCAACGTCTCACTGATAAACCGAATAGCCTCGTCAGCCATCTTAGCAGTGACTTCATGAGCCGCCGTCTGGTCAATGATATCTTCAAAGGACACCGCACCATCACCGAACCACCCTTCGGACGAGATAGCCTCCTTGAACCAGTTGAGGAACAGCTCTCCGCGATGGTAGGGAACAAGTTTGTCCTTGCCGCCAGACAGATTCAAAATGCGCTTGCCAGCCAAGGCACGAGTCAGAAGCGGCCGGAGCACCTGCTGCTCGCTTTCTGAAGGCTGAGGCAATGGGCCTTCGCGCAAAGGACCAGTCGATGGCCCGCAATCCACATGCTTCAGCATCATACCGGCAGGATCATATCGATTGACAGTCTCTATCAAAGAAGTCGGCAAGGCTTCTGAGCCAAGGACCTCGGCACCAGGTGGATCACTCTTTGTCCATGATGGCAGCTTCGACAGCCTTGCGCGGTCTGCCATCAGATTGATATAGTCTGGACACCCGATGATGACGACCCCGGCGGTGACTCGAGGCTCGTGCAGTAGACAGCTCCATGCTGCGTGTCCGCCCAGCGAGACTCCTAGAACTAGGTTCTCGGTGATCTTATGCTCATCATCGGGGAATGTATAGGAGGGAAGGTAGTCCATGAGCACCGATGTATCTCTTGCAGTGCCCTCTAGTTATAGTTAGAACAGTATATATCTTCTTTATGACCTTTTTTCACTCACGGAAGATGGAGAACATATCCTGGGCATGCCGGGGGTTCCCCTTTTTCCAAGACTCGTTTGCTAGAGGGTCGACTGTCCGAGTACCATGGTTTCGCTGGTCGAACGAGACAGCAATCAGGCCCTTGGCGGAAGGTTTGTCCTGGTTTCTAGTGTTCCAGTCGGTAATGGCGGAGTTGGCAATGCCAGTCATACGCTCCTGTGTGGCTAATCTGGGATGAAGAAGCCAGAGACATGCGAGCTCCGAGGCCTCTTTGCGGAGCTCTTCTAGTCCGAAGACTGTTACTGAGATGCCGGCGATTGCGTGGACCTTCTGGGAGATGGCCGTAACGGGCCTGCCCGAATCATTTAGGGACTTTAATGGATCAGTCATGATGGTTGAGCAGGTAATAAAAACACCCAATATAATGTGTAATATGTTGAAGAGAGGCGGTTTTGAAATAGCGGGGAGATAGATAGATGGCGATCGTTAAAGGCCACTCGGGTATACTATGCAAAAGCCGAGGCCTTCGCTTTATATGCTTAGCATAGTTCCCGAGACATTACGGAGTATTCGGTTATATATATTCTGTATGCTCTTAATCTTTTTCTTTGTATACACTTGAATTCCAGTGTGTTACTCTAAAGTCCTCGATCGAGGCCACTACATGGCCATTTGTTTTATAGATATTGAAGAACATTGAAACTCCTTTGGACTCAGTCAATTCAATCCCATATTTCTTCTTATACTCCATACTAGATACTAGATATGTATGTACATATGTAGTATAGATACTCCACTAACATCATACCTAGACGTGCAGCCCCTTTTTCCCAGACCGCCCGCTTCTCCAGTCGGAGAGCTCCACTGTAAACTTATCTATTGCTCCTTTTAATGTCAACACACGTTCTTTTAACCCTGGATTTTCTTGTTTCTTTAATCCTACGACAATGATCACTACATAGTCATCTTCGACAGGTGTATTGAGTACGTACAAAGTAAAAGTGGTTGATCCCGTGAACTGCAACTGATAACCACCTTACATTAGCCCCAGAATCCGAACATGTCGGCCTCTTCAATTCATCAGGATGTGGAAACTGGCTCACTGAAGGCCGACACAAAGAAGCAAGACCCCCCTTTGTCTTCAAACAAAACAAAATTGGCATCCTCGTTGCCTTCTTCCACCGAATCCAAGAAACCGGCCTCGATCAAGCAGACCCAGCCAACCCAGCCCACGGAGGGTCATGGAACAGGTGGAATACTAGGCGACAAGGAAAATGTGCGTCCATCATCCTTGAAGCAGGGCTCACCGAGGGGCAGGTCATCCCTGAGCACTCGACCGCCAAACCGGTCAGGCGAGGACCAACAACCATGGAGTCACCATCAACGGCGGTCGTCCAACCCCGGAATGTCCCCTCCATCCCGTACCCAAAGCGTACAATTCAGAGATACAGACACCGAGGCTCCCGACGCGTCCCACTCCCGGCCGCAATCTCGACCCGACTCTGAACACGGCGACGATGATAATCAGGGTCCCAAAGGAAAGCAGTCGTTGTTCGGCAAGCTGAAGTTACTTGCTACTACACCCAACTTCGCGTCACACTCACGATCACCCAGCGGTGCGAGTACGGACTTCCGCCCAGGTCCAGGCGATATAGCCCCTACCCCGGGGTCGGAAAGGGGGGAATTCCGCTTCCCAAAGCCCTTGGAAGAAGAGGGTAGCGAGATCGATGCCGACGCGGAAGAGAGCGGTGGCGAGCAACGTGATCCTCGTGAAAAGAGAAAAACGCAGCGGCGGCGGAAGCAATGGGAGGAGGAAGCTGGCTCCAACACCGCCCCTACATCGCCTAAAACAACCCGCAGACCATCATTCCACTTCTCATCCTCCTTCGCACCTTTTGAGAACTATCGCACTAATCTGTTCCCCCGAAGAGCAAGCACTACAGACTTCACGCCTCAACAGCGCGAAGGTGTTTCAGAAGATGAAGGCCGTGAGAGGCTCAGCCGGCGGATGAGGAGCCGCCCATGGGCAAATACTCGGATTGCCAGCTATACTGACCGCCCAGATGCCAATCCGGACGAACAGCGTCCGAGCAACCTGAGGCGATTGACCGGGTTTGCCGGACCATCTGGAAACGATGAAAGCCTAACGGCGAGCTGGAGACGCCATCGAACCGAGCGAGGCACCAGTGCTAGTGCTCAGCGATGGAAGCAAATCAAAGCTGGTTTGAAACTCATTGGCCAGCGACGAAGGCCAGATAACACGGTGGACAATAAGAAATCCGCAGAGTTGCTTGCTGAACTCGCTTCGGCCGTACCTGCTGCGCTTATACTGGCCAGCGCGTTCCAACGAGATGAGCATGGCAGCAAAAGAATCCCGATTCTTTTGGAACAATTGAAGGTTCGTGTTACGGACAGCCGGATTGATTCCCACTCCGGTGATCGTCATTTGGTCTTCCGAATCGAAATGGAATACGGAAGTGGCATGACTCGCATGAAATGGATCATCTTCCGCACGCTAAGGGACTTTGCCAATCTACATCTCAAGTATAAGCTTCATCTGGGAACTCAAAAATACATCCAGCTGCGCACGAGCGAGAACAGCCCGAGTCTCCCTCGATTCCCTAGAAGTGCCTTCCCCTACATGCGAGGTGTGCGAGGCCTTGAAAGTGAATTCGAGGATGAAGATGAAGAGGGTGGTTATGAGACTGGTGCGGAGGGGATGAGTGGAACAGAGAGGCCCTCGACGAAGAAAAAAAAGCAGAACCAACAATCACACCAGCGTCGGGTATCTGGTCCGCTTGCTCGCAGAAAGTCCAGCATCACAAACCAAGAAGGAGACTCAGCCGCAGGACCTTCATCCACCCATGAAGGTGCCTCGGGAGCTAGGAAAGACACATACCCTGGGAAGCAGCGAAAGAAGCTTGAGCTCTATCTACAAAAGATGATTAGGTTCTTGATCTTTAGGGCTGACAGCAATCGTCTGTGCAAATTCTTGGAACTGTCCGCTCTCGGTGTCCGTCTAGCCGCAGAAGGCAGCTACCATGGCAAAGAAGGATTCCTCATAATCCAGTCCTCCAAGGGTCTTGATTTCCGAAAGGCGCTCACCCCATCTCTGGTCAAGAATCGCCACTCACCCAAGTGGTTCCTGGTCAGACACAGCTATGTAGTCTGCGTGGACTCCCCCGAGGAGATGAATATTTACGATGTCTTCTTGGTGGATTCCCATTTCAAGATCCAGACACCGAAGCTTAGTCTTCGCAAGCAAAATCCAAAGGATCTTGCCAAGTCTGCAAAGCAGTCTGCGAGACACCCTCAGCATCACACTCTCAGACTTGAGAACTCTGAACGCAAGCTCAAACTGCTGGCCCGGAATGAGCGTCAACTCCAACAGTTTGAAGACTCGATCCGCTTCATGGTTGCTAACACTCCGTGGCTGCGCCCCAACCGGTTCGACAGTTTCGCGCCCGTGCGACAAAACTGCTTTGCGCAGTGGCTGGTTGATGCACGGGACCACATGTGGGTTGTCTCACGAGCAATCAATCAGGCAAAGGATGTCATTTATATCCACGATTGGTGGCTGAGTCCGGAGCTTTACATGCGTCGGCCTGCTGCCATCAGCCAGAAATGGCGATTGGACCGTCTTCTGCAACAGAAAGCTCGGGAAGGCGTCAAAGTCTTCGTGATTATGTATCGCAACATCAACTCCGCCATTCCCATTGACTCGGAATATTCCAAATTCTCTCTCCTTGATCTTCACCCAAATATCTTTGTTCAACGATCACCAAATCAGTTCCGCCAAAATACTTTCTTCTGGGCCCACCACGAGAAGCTTTGTCTCATCGATCACACTATCGCATTCGTTGGAGGTATCGATCTGTGCTTTGGGCGTTGGGATACTCCTCAACATCAATTGACCGATGACAAGCCTACCGGGTTTGAAACTACTGATGGCCCCAAAGATGCAGATCATTGTCAACTCTGGCCGGGCAAGGACTACTCCAATCCCAGAATCCAAGACTTTTATGACCTGGATAAGCCGTATGAGGAGATGTATGATCGCAATGTTGTGCCCCGGATGCCGTGGCATGACATTTCTATGCATGTCGTGGGCCAGCCTGCTCGGGATCTTACTCGTCATTTCGTGCAACGCTGGAATTATATCCTTCGCCAGCGAAAGCCCACGCGGCCCACGCCTTTCCTCTTGCCGCCACCCGATTTCAACCCCGCTGATTTAGAAGCTTTGGGTCTTGATGGAACTTGCGAGGTACAGATCCTCCGTTCTAGTAGCATGTGGTCCACAGGAACACCCGATGTCGTCGAGCACAGCATCATGAATGCGTATGTCAAGTTGATTGAGCAATCAGAGCATTTCGTCTACATCGAGAATCAGTTCTTTATCAGCACCTGCGAGATTGAGGGTCGGAAGATCGAGAACCTCATTGGAGATGCCTTAGTTGAACGTATTGTCCGAGCTGCCAAAAATGAGGAAGCATGGCGCGCCGTCATTGTCATCCCATTGATGCCAGGCTTCCAGAACACCGTGGACAGCGAAGGTGGAACAAGCGTTCGCCTTATCATGCAGTGTCAATACCGCAGTATCTGCCGCGGAGAGACATCTATCTTCGGCCGTCTTCGTGCTCTTGGAATCGAGCCAGAGGACTATATCCAGTTCTACAGTCTGCGAACATGGGGGAAGATCGGACCGCAAAAGGCACTGGTGACTGAGCAACTTTACATTCACGCCAAATGCATGATCGTTGACGATCGCGCTGCTATCATTGGATCAGCAAACATCAATGAACGATCCATGCTGGGTTCGCGTGATTCAGAGGTCGCATCTGTTGTGCGAGACACCGATATGATGATGTCGAGCATGAATGGCAAGCCATACCTTGTTGGTCGATTCCCACATACATTGCGTATGCGTCTGATGAGAGAACATCTTGGAATTGATGTCGACGAACTCATGGAACATGACTTCGCTACTGAAGAAGAGCTACGCAAGATCCAGGTCGCCGAGGGGAGTGAGCACCCAGTTGACAACCGAGAGCGAAGAGATTCGGCGTCCTCGGCCATCGAACGACAAGATGAGAGGGAGATGGTCGAACGTCGGCACCGTATCCAGGATGAGTTCCTTTCTCGCTCTGAGGACATGTATAGCTTCAACCATGATGTCGATTGGGAGCAGGGTGCTAACCCTAACCTCAAGTCGAACCGCAAGCTCACTGCCGATCCTCGCGTTACTGAAAATCCTGATCACAGGAATGACGTGGAAGGTGATGGCCCCGACCGCCTGACAGCCGCTGCTCGGGCCGGATTAACAGTCGGTCGTGATTCGGAGATGGAGGCCGATGGAAGAGAAGCCCTGCTTTCACCCATCGCACCTGAGG